GAGGATTAGGAAGAAAAATGCAGAGGTGTAGGATGCTTTATAATTGTTTTGTTGTGCTTTGCTTTGTCTTCTCTAGTGTTATTAAAATTTAAGAGGACAGAAATTGGAATAAAACAAATACTGCCATTTTACAAAGTGGATTATAAATTCACCACATTTAATACCAATAAAGTATTTATTGGGAATGTGCAATATGATGATAAAAAGAACCAGGTTCTTAAGGAGCTTCTAAATTGGAGAAGAAATTTGATATGAAAACAACTAAAGTAGACTTTCAATATAAACATAATTAAATGAATTATTTCATAGGAACTCTGAACAATCTAGGAAGAAAATGGAGGATTGTAAGGCTTCAGCAAAAAAGGAAGTTACATTTAGCTGAAATGGAAATTAGTGGGTAGGACAGTGGAGGAGAGGTGCTAAATAGAAGGGACTAGTAGGACTAGTCCAATGTGTTAGAGCAAAGCATGCGTTGTGAGATGTGCTGGGCAGGGAAGCTAGTGGGACAGTATACACTCAGATTGAGGCCCATGCTCAATTCATAGCTCATAGGAAATAATTAATATATTTGATTAAGCATCATGCTGAAAACACCAAAGAATGAGTTCTAGTGGTCACATAAATATGCCCTTTGCTTTGAAATGTGCTGAAATCAGTAGGGTATTTTTTAGTGAAGATATGCTTTCCACAATTTTAAAATGTTCATAAACATTTTATTTTGTTTGAATTTTTTTTTTTTTTAGACAACATCACACTATGTAACTCAGGGTGGCCTTGAACTTGATATGTAGCAGACTTGGCTTCAACTTGGGGCAATTCTTTTGCATCAGCCTCCCACGTGCTGGGATTACAGGCTTGTGCCACCATGCCCAGTGATCATAAGCATTTTAGCAAATGATCCCTGAAGTGGGCAGCTGCATTGCCTGACACCCAGTCAGTGCCATGCCAGGGTCATGTGCTGAGAACATCCCAGAAATCTTCAGGATCCAACCTTGTGCAAGTGTGAGATGCTGTCTGGTCTCAGTATCACACTTTAGCACACATCAATAAAGATACTCCTTTTTAATTTTATTGGTACATTTTAGATATACAATATAATGACATTCATCTTTGGAAATTTGTACCTTTATGTAATCTGTCTTTGTTCTTATTTTCTTCCCCCTTCCCCTGCCCTCCCTTCAACCCCTCCAACCCTCTCCCTCCCTATTTACAAAGACTTTGTTTCCATTTTTTCATTTTCTCATATTAATTCTATTCCCTTCTTCCCTTTCCCCTACCCCTTCCACTTCCCCTTCCCGTTTAAGAAAAGGGATAAAGATACTCTTGATGTTCACAGAACATAGCTGATGAAGGGTGTGATATAATTTACTGTAGTTTTCAAGAAAATAATTGTATGACAAGTATGATGACAGCCTCAATAATATAAACTATTAAAATATTTGAATATTTGAAAACTTTTGTAATAGGCCAAGTGAAAAGTTTTATGATTTTAAACTAGGATTTCAGTTCAGAAACAATGAAAACAAAAGGCTGGATATGCTAGAGAAACTGAGGCAGGGTTCTCTGTCAAACTTTAGCTGATAGAACCATAATGGATTATTAAGAAATATATTTTAGAATATGAGTAAATTGTCCTGTGCTTTCTTGGCCTGTGTAGCTTATGAGTTCAACCCACTGTGATATATCTTACATTTCACTATACACAATTAAAGACAGGATTCACATAATAATTTGGTGTACCCTCACCTTAGGATCCTGTTCTCCTTATTTGAAAAAAAAAGTCTTCTAATGTAATGTAAACATTTATTTTGGAATCATAACAGATAATTCTAAAAACATTTTAGAATGATGAGTTTTATATGATGATTAATGAATTGAGATACTTCATTTGTTGATTATTGTGCAGTCTAATTTCAGGATGATCTTTAAAAGGATATTTGCACATGAAACAGACATATTGTGAGTTCTACTCTGCCTAAAATAGAGTGTAAATGCTTGTCTTTGTTGTGTTTTCATTTCATTTCTGATTCATTTACCATATTGTGAAACAATAGACTAATTTTTAAAAGGCATACATTTTTTACCGTGGAGAATCACCCTTCTCAGCTCTGCTTTGCACTCTCAGTTCACAAAGATTTGCATGTATGTGTCTGTATATAGCGGCATGTGTGTCAATTTAAGATTATAATTTGTTATTTCTATACTTGTAACATTTTTCTTCCATTTGTTCTGGAGCCTTCCTTTTTGTATGAAGAGAGAGGATCTTTTCACTAACAACCTGGGTTTCACTCTACCTACTGAGATTAGTATAATGAATATAATCTCACAGATCAAATATCTGAAAGCAGCTGGTAATTATGTACCCATCTTAGCATTTCAAAGTTGGTCATTGCTTTTAATCACAGATGTTTACACTAACCTTGCGAGAACACAGAGTCTAGATTCCAAGCAATCTTCAGTTTGTGAGTTTGGGCAGTAATTACAAGCTTGATGATAGTACCAGCTGGGAGAAAATTCCCAGAGATGGGGAGGGTGGAAAAATTCAGGGGTCCTTACAAAGGATATTATGTGTGTCTGTGCTGGGGGGCAGGATAGTAGTCCCTGAATGATTGGAGAAAAAATCATTGTGAATCCTTTACCTCTAAACTCTTATTCTGTCAATAATGGAAAACAACCAACAACACCATTATGTAAAACTACAACATCTGAGCTCAGGTTGAAGTTCCCAGACTGGACTTGATGTGTGCTTTATATTGAGAAGAAATTTATTCTCTCTTCATACCTGAACTAGTTCAAAGAGCTTGTATCACCATGTCATGAAAACAATAATCAGTTGACAGCGATTATTTAAATAAATCATAAGGGCTGATTCTAGAAGTGGAGGTCTTATGTATGACTTGGAGAAGCAGAAAACCTTAAATGAAAGGCCTGATCCATATCATTACTAGTATTTCTTATGGATATCTGCATGTTCCCTGACTTTTCCTATCATTGTTATCAGCAGCCTGCGGACATGTCCCCACTGATGCAACCACATAGGACCTCAGATGAAGGCAGGATTAGGATTGAAAAGTGAGTCGAGGGAGATGTTAGTAGCAGTTTAAAGACAACTTATTTTCATCTGTTTATTTTTACATTTGTCTCAGGATTTAAGGATTTTGCTAAATTTGGTAGAGTTCATTGTTGTATAATAGCAAGAGAAGACTCTTCTAAGAAGTCATACAAGGCATTGATGGAAACCAGCCCCAAACACTGAACATCTTTAAACTGATGCAAATGATGCATGAACTCCTGGTGCCCCTACCATGTAGGGCAGCGGATTCTGTCCCAAAGACAAGTTAGCACTGTAGGGGATGGGCCTTGGATCTCCCAGCAACCAGTAGTTTGCATAATCCAGGTCTGACAGTCAGCTAGCTGGGGGACTTAGCTTTTCTCTACATCAATTTTTTTTTACCTGCTAGTAGGATTAATGGGAACAGTATTGAATATTAATAAGATACTCTAAAGAGGATATTAAGAAATAGTGATTCATACCAAGGTTGTCAATAATTTGAACAATAATTCTCATATTTCTCCTTTCTGAAATGAGGAGATTTCTCTCTCTCTCTCTCTCTCTCTCGAGAGAGAGAGAGAGAGAGAGAGAGAGAGAGAGAGAAACTTGAGAAAATTAAGTAATTCAGTCTCAAGTAGTTCACATCTTCCCCATGTGTGGGATAAACACGTGGCACAGTGATCCATGAGATGTTTCCAACCTGAAAAAATTTAAATTATAACTGTGTCAGAAAGTCTTTTTCTTGCGTTATTTAGTCCTGACTAAAAGCTACAAAGGATAAATCAGTTATTTAAGTACCATGAAGCAGAGTATAAACACAACTATTAGAGAGCAGGGGATAATCAGTTAGAAATCCGCGGTGCAAGAAGCCGAATCCTCCACAGCTACAGGGAAGGCTGTAAATGCACTGTGCCCACACGTTCCTGAGTGGTTTTCCATATTTTATATTTTTAGCACGTTGTCTTTTGAGAAATGCAAATGTAGTTCTGTAGGGCAGTGAAAAGCCTTGTTATTTGGTAAATTGGGCTTTTACATTCATATTAACCAAAGTCCAGAATGACGGCAGTTAAAGGAGATGAAAGATTGTTGAAATGACAGATTGAGTAGTGTGTTTCTTGGGTTACAAAGTTCAGGAAAATGTGTAATTATTTCTGAGTTTCCTGAGGTTCCTCTGTTCAACATAATGTTCTGACATACAGCAGGGACAGTTCCAGATATGAAATGCAAATCAGTAGGTGCTGCCCCTGCTGCTGATGTTGGGGTTAATCATGCAAATCTAATGCAGTTCTTCAGTTCTTGATATTTCAAGAAAGGTTTTAGTTGAAGTCCTATGCATGTATTGATTTAAAATTCCTACTTTAAAGAGCAGAGTAATTTTTTTCAACTTCAAATTTTAAAATACAGAGCAGGAGTTGGAGACATTTAGTAACTAGATTTTATGTTGGTTAATCATGGAAAAGAATTTCAGGGGAGGGGGTAGCATGGTAAGGACAGATGGAGAGAATCCATAAGAACGTAAGGATTACTGAACATATTAAATAGTATGATATAACTAAATTTACAATTGTTCTATAGAAAATTTCTTTGTTTGGAAAAAATCAAATCTGTTATACATGTTTACTGAATTTCTGCTGTGTTCAATGAAGAGATGACTTAAATTAGTCCAGGCCACATCTAAACTAACACTACAAGCTCCTGACTTTGGGAATGATCTAAAATACCACTGGGCATGAGTCTGTTTATGGAAAGAAATGAAATTGTCTTGCTCTTAAGTGTAAGGCACCACATTTTAACAGTCTTTTTGTTGTGCACAATAGGAATTCAGCTTATCTTTCCAAAAACAGTAAAATTCCATGTCCCAGTGCCTGACATAAGAATTATTTTTACATACCTTCATATCGCTGACTCTCTTGTAAGTTAATCTCATCTCGCATGAATTTTTCACCAGCTTCACTCTGATGTTGATAAAGGAGATGGTTCCATCAAATACATCTTGTCAGGCGAAGGGGCAAGTTCCATTTTCATTATTGATGAGAACACGGGGGATATTCATGCTACCAAAAGATTGGATCGCGAGGAACAGGCCTACTACACTCTCCGAGCTCAAGCACTGGACAGACTCACCAACAAACCCGTGGAACCAGAGTCAGAATTTGTCATCAAAATTCAGGATATTAATGACAATGAACCTAAATTTCTGGATGGTCCATACATGGCAGGAGTTCCCGAAATGTCTCCTGTGGGTAAGTAAAATGTGTGCTGTATTTGCAGCGAGTATCAGATTTTCAGTGGCTTGGATTTAAAAGTAAATTGTCAGCAACTACAGAGGAAAAACCATATTTTTAATATGCACGGCAACTGTCAGGATGAAGGGAAAATTTGAGATATGTTAGCCATAACTCATTCATTCAATACATCGTTTTATTTATATAGGAAATTAAGAAATAATTTTTACTTTTTATATTTTTTCTTTTACATAATTATCTCCATGTCTTCAAGAAATTACTTTGGTCTTACATCTTCTTTTCTGTTTAATATTCATTTATTTTAAATATATAATTATATTTATACCTGAGAAGTTAAAAAATAAAGTCCTCCCACACACAGCCTGGTGCTAATTTTTATGCTTCCTTCTCTGATCCTACTATAATGATTCACTGATCTAAACATCATTCTGTCATCCATGCATCAAGAAGTCTGTCAGTGGCCACCCAAACCAACATCTGAATTGGTTGGTCTCTTTATACTGGGTGTGCTTGGACCCATATGTATCCATCACATGCTAACACTGATCTTTTTGTAATTTCTCCAATTGAAAATTGAATAGTGAGTTTATAGTAATGGTAAAGTAATATTTAGTTGGAGATATATAAGAAATAAGGGAGGCAGTTTTACTTAATGACGTTTGGCATTTCCCCATTGCTAGAAAAATGGCAAATAAAGCTCCTCTAATATGTACTTTATATCAAATAATAAAAATTCTCATTGAAATTCCATGTACTCAAGTAGTTCTGGAATACTTTTCAGCCAGTACAAAATTTAAGTGTAGAAAATCTTAAAAACATCATAAAATATGGGGCTGAAATAGTGGGCAGCTGATTTATGCATTTATTAGTTGTTTTAAGTATTGAAAGAGGAAGTGTATTTGAAATATCACTGAAACTTGTATTATAACACATGGGTATTTTAGCCAATATAATTTGTTTTGTTTTAAGTAAAGATCATTTTATGCATATACTCAACCAACATACTTACTAAAAAGGGAAGTGAAATTGCAGAGATGTATATTATGGGTACTCTCTCGAGGGTCATAATTTAGTGACCTTAGATTTCAGTTCTTATCAGGTGGGAGAGGGAAATATTTTTGAGGCACAATGGCTATAGGTGCTGAAGAAATACAAACTGAAAGTAAGACAGAAGAATTGATACTTGTGGTCATGAAAAATTCTGAACTTCATTGGCAGACTCTTACGTTAGCAAATACATAAGCGTTTCAAAGACCAAACAGGCATATTTACACTTTCTCAATGCTGCACACACTTCAAAGGACCTCTTGCCACTACTGCTTAACAATAACACCAGCATTAGGAAGAATGATGTTTTAGAGATTGTAGAAAAAAAGAGAAGTAATATTGAGTAAAAGTGGTGTTTGTCAAGTTTGTCTGAGCAATTGGATTTAGCTTCATAGTTCTCATTCTCAGGGGCATTTTGGGAGTTCTTCATTAACTAGTAAAGTTTTCCTCTCTTTCATAGAATACAGCTCTGCAAGTTTGATGTAGGTGAACTCACTTTACAGGGCAAATAATACCTATAGCTTTGATTTTTGATGACACTACTTTAATATCAAACAGTGGTTATTGTGCATACATGTAAGTTTAATTGACTTGATTGAATAACATGTTACAATTTTTAGAAAGTGACTTTAGAAATCTTTAAGATTTAGGAGGCACTGATTTAAATCACTGGGTTACTTTAAAAATTCAAATTTACAGTGGATATAAACCTGACATATGTCATGTAGATTTATAGTGAGTCATAGTTTAATGAAATGTTTAATTTTTATTAAACAGTTACAATAGCCACTAAATGGAATGGTATACTAGGCTTTTAGTGCTTAATATTCAGAGTTCTTTTAAATTGAATATTAACTAATTATGTTTTTTAAAAACAATTGTAAGACCCTAGGAGAGTTTACTCTTTACTAAAACAGCAGATATAAGCATGAAACTTTTACATTTATTTGTGAGTATGTGTATAGGCATGCATATAATATCTAAATGTATAATATACTGTGTATTATTTGTATTAAATTAAATGATCAGCATTTCAGAGAAAGAGATAATATACAGAATATTTGCTGGTTTAGTTTTCTTAATGTTTTAAAATTTTTTTCTTTTAAAATGAAATAGGAAATAAATACTTAAGCATATCACCATTATCAAGCTGAAGGTGTTGCACTACAGAGAAAATGTTTAAATATAATCTATTATAAAATGTAATTCTGAAAAGGATTTTAAAATAGACACTCACCATCTTGATTCTATCAGATATCCACAATGCACAATCACTTAAATTCATTAAATTAAAAAAAAGGGGGGTAAGGATTAGAAAATGGTTTGGGGACAGGGATAAAGCTCAGTGTTGCCTCACCTGCCTGGCAAATGCAAGGTCCTGAATTTGATTCCTGGCACCAAAAAAAAAAAAAAAAGTTTTAATACCGATAACCTCATCATTTGCACTCAATTTTTTAAAGAAGGAATTGGTAAGGTAAATCATAATATGGAAAATGGTATATATTAGTAACAAAATGAACATTCATTACTTATTTCAGACATTTAAAAACAAAGGATCTATGTAAAATACATTTAAAGAAAATATTAAATTTAAGATACTATATTCAGGAAATTATTAGAAATAAACTGAAACCTTAAAGAATATCCAAAGAAAGAGAATTTTCTCCTCTGTATCAGGAAAAAACATAAACTGTAACATACTATGTGCTTAGGTATATGAACTAAGCAAACATGTCTATAATGTTTTGAAGATTATATATCAAATGGAAATAAAAAGAATAGATCAGAATAAATTCTTTCCATATGGAATAAATGAATATATAATAAAATGGAGAAACAATTTGGGACTCAATATAGAAAAACAACTAGTAACCTCATTTTTAAATTGCCATGTTTCCTCCTTTCAGAGGGTTTGATTAACATTTTTAACTAATATTTTGTTTTTAAATCAATTATTAGAAAAAAAACCCAGAAATTTATCAAGGAGATAAGCACATGATATCCAGTTAAATGGGCCAAGTACTCTTTGTACAATTTGTGAAATTTCAGCTTCTGTCTGGCATTCTTTATCAACAACAGCCAGATAGCCTTGATAATTTGGTGTCCAAGATATTTTTACATTTCAGGCTACCTCTGGACAGTGATCAGTTCTCACAGAGACTGCTCTTGATGAAAATTTGGTACCTGAATTGATGGGTGAGATACCTAAGCTCTCAGTCCCGTTTGGTTCTGAGAATTTCCCAATCTAGCATGCATCATCAATGATACACTTTTGCTGAAATATTTTCATGTTCTTTAACTATTTCAAAGATTGTATTATTATTTATTATCTCTGAGGTTGTGTTAAAAAACACGAGATCAATTTTTCATGTTCAATGAAAAAAGTCAACTAAAATTTACACGTAAACGTAATGTAGAATCTGCAACAGCATGTGATTCTGTGTTGTTTTATTTGGACACATTTAATTTACTGGTTTCTGACTTGTCATCTAGGGACTTCAGTGGTCCAAGTGACAGCAACTGATGCTGATGATCCCACATATGGTAACAGTGCTCGGGTGGTCTACAGCATTCTGCAAGGACAGCCATACTTCTCAGTGGAACCCAAAACAGGTAAAAATTGACATGTGACACTCTTTGTAAAATTATCATTTGCATCTTGGGTTAGAATTAATATTAGATATTCTTTACTAAATTTAGTTGATTGCACATGCTTTATTTGTATTCTCTTAATGTGTCAATTTTAGTCAAATAACAATCTATAAAGAAATTATCATTTTAAAATAATAGTTTATGATATTTTTCTGTATTTCTAAAACAAATCAATTTTATGTGTTTAAAATATCTCAGTTGTTATCTTCTGATTTTATAAACAGTTCATTATTTATCTTTAAGTTTTGTTTTTGTTTTCTTTTATGCATTCATATAAAGAATTGTGCATGCTCAAATATAAATCCAAATGAAATCATCTCTGTCACACAATACAACAGTTACTATTTCAATTTAACCTTTTAGAGGATGGTTTTTACAGGGATATTAATTAAAGCAATGAAAAGAATGATCTGCTAAGTTAAAAACTAAACTTTTTTCTTACACTTCGGTAATGTTCTTTTGGAGTTGGAAAAGTAAATGAATAGAATATTTATCTGATTAGCTTATTTGTCATATTTTCTTTAAGGTTGAAATAATTTAAATTAAGATTGTAGCATGAAACATTTTGATTTTGATTTTTAAATAATTATTTGATATATTCAGCTTTTCTCTGTGTATGAAGGGGTGAATAGTTGTGAATACTCTCTTTAACCAATTCTTACTTTATCTATAAAAAGACAATGTTAATTCATTCTCAAATTATTACAGGAATAAATATTTTAAATCCCTTTTGGAAATAACAATTGTAACATCCATCAGCAGAAGTAAATTCAGTCTCACTCATTGCATATTTTGTAGAAGTATAATGGTAGAGTTTGGAAACTCCTTGGAAAGTCTAATAGAAAATAAACAGTTATGATTAAGCAAGTATTGGATGAAGGAAGAGTAAGTGGAAGTATGTGATTTATGATACGAATTCTATGAATGTAGAAAGTGTGCTCCTTTGATTTAATGATAGATCTCAGAAACCTAAATTCAAACCCTCACCTTCCCTTATATATCTGCTTCTTTCAGGCTAGAAAGACATTGAGAAGTTTCTGAAAATTTCCTCAAAAATTATAACTCTGTATTATGTGCCCTGTCCAAAAATAGCATGTAGTAATTCCAATAGTTAAACACTTTGTTGCTACTGATTGGCTTGGGATTTTTTGTTTTACTGTAAGATAATGGAATTTTCTTAGAGCTCTGAGGATGAAAAACTAGTGAGTTGACCAACTGAATACATCATAGGAATACATTAATACTTTAATAAGTAAATTCAATTTTAATTTCAGGATCTGTATTAAATAAATCATATGTTACAGGATATATTACTGTTATCTATTACAGATATAAATAATGTGAGATGGAGAAATTTTATTTTGTAGTACAGAAATCATTGTAAGTAATGGAACTCATCTTTCTACAGTTAGTGCAGAGATACTGTGAGCATTTTTATCTTCTCAAATCATACTGTGTAGAACATAGTTTTTAAAGAAAAAAATAAAGCTACATGTTTTTAACAAAAAAGTGGAAAGTATTTAGTCCTTCAGGGCTTATAGAGCTGTAACTAAAGTTTCAGTTATTCTTCCTTATGGGATGTCAATCTGATTCTTGTCTATGTGAGAAATGATAGTATTCTCCAGACAAATCTAGGGGTTCTGGAGATGAAAATAAAATTTTTGACAGAAAAACAAATCCTGAAAATATACTAAATAAAGAAAAATAAAAATAGGGCTAGACAATCACTGAGTACATGCATTTTTATGTTTGCTTAACTGCTTAGAAAAAGCATAGTTAAAATCTCAGAGCATATATTCTATCTGTGGCAGTGTTTACAGGCCACATGACCTGTAACTGTATTTTCTACCTTAATTTCTCCTACTACAAAACCAGAATGTGTGTAGTTGCAAAAAGCAACATGGACAATTTACTTCAACAAGCCAATAAAATGGCACTAGAAGCAGATAACACACTATTAAAAAGACAGGAGAAAAAAAAAAGACAGGAGATTCGCATCCTCTATCTTCATAATATTCACAAAATTACCAAGAGACAAGATTATCGTAAGGTGCATTTTCTGTTCTGTAACTTGAAAGCAAATAGATTCATTTATGGTCCTATTTGATATGGAGCAAGACAAGTTAAATAATTTGCAATTCAAAATGAAAAGCAGAACCCATATTCTAAAATTATTATGGATTTCAAGATATCCTCAGAAGTTAAACCAACTACCGTTGTCAGACTGACTGAACAAATTCCAAGCCATGAAGCCAGTTTTGAAAAATGAATTGAGTCCTAAAATCATTGGTCATTTAAGAGTTCTCTCTCAAACAGAAGGACTGTGACTTCATGGTCCCGCATTTAAATTGCATACATATTTTCTTTATCATAGCTTTATACGACTGGTACCATTATAACTAGTTACATCCACAAAGGCTTTTTGCTTGTGTTCCATTCTATAGTTTGACTCATTTCACGGAAGGGCCTTGGCTCCTGTCAAAGCTTTCTCAGTAGTTCCCTCACAGATGGCAAGAAGAGTTCTTGCTCAGTGACTTTTCATTTGTTGCCAGCTCTGGCATCCTTTGGATTTCCAAAAGCTTCCAACCTTGACATTATTGGCACTTCTCCATCTTTTTTATTATTCCATTAAATGATGTACTTACAAATAGGCAAACCAAATAATACAAAACTTAGATTCAAAATTTAGAAATATAAATTTAATAAGAAGATATTCATTTTTTACCTCTTATGTAAAATAAAATGTGTATCCAAAAATTGTAATTATTTTAGTAAATATTTCCCCCTAGTAGATTTTTTTCAGGTAAATAGCAATATTCTTCTCAAAAGAGCCAGGCATATGCATTTTCTTCATATTTGGTGAGGACCACTGATTAATTTGAATAATACTTTATTTTATAACCCATTTTATTAAATTCATTTATAATTAATATTCTCATATATAAACTCTCTCATTAAAGAGTATATTTCAAAGAAGAAAGCATACCTTAAACATTTATGTTCATTCTATTTTCTAAGTTCTTTTGAAAACAGTTTCAAGTTTCCTGAATATTTATTATCCTAAAAAGCTAAAACTGCTTTGTCCATGATCTATTTCATCATGCCCCAGTTTCTATATTTGTAATAAAGAGTATTGCTTGACTCTAGTCTGTATTCCTTTCTGTCAATTTACAAATATGTAAGAGAATATGTGACACAAAAGTAAGTCACAAAGTGTTAGGTCCAATAGCTTTTTTATTTGAACAACTGTATTTATCTTCCCAATCCAATTCAATCTCAGATATATATATATATATTTGCCACCATTTTATTATTAATCAACTCCACACGCTAAGGTTTTCATTTTTTTCAATTTAAATAATTTCAATGGTTATCAAGATATAATATAATATATATAATTTGTTGCATTTAGTATGCTTAGTGAAAGATTAAGCAGAGGCTCTCATAGGAAAGGTAGCATTTAAGTCTCAGAATGAATTTTCACACATGATCTTTGTTACACAGGCCAAATATGTGTAGAGGAGTGCTTAGCTCTCATTTGTAAAATAGCAGCTGAATCCATTGTATTCAAATATGAAGCTGTATCTTTACTTGGAAAACATTTCATTTGGATTCTTTCCTGAACATGAACCATATTTGTAAATAAATAACATCACAGTCATTGATTTAACATGAAACCAGAGTTTAATTATGTTTCATTGAGCTATTTTAAAGAATTAATACTACATTTTGCCAGAGACTGATGTATTACATGCATATTCAACTCATTACCAGTTACATCTACTATTCTCATTAACAAGTTCTTATTGAAACAAATCTACCATCTTTGAAGTACTTTAAAGTGGAGCTGACATGACATCTGATTAATCTTGTTAGAAGCAAAGCAAGTGGACAGAATACATGGATTCTTCACCATTTTATAATTGTATAGTGAGCCTCCTGTTCAATGTAGTGCTATCTTAAGGGTTATCTATTCACTTTTTACAATAGGCTCAAGAAATAGCTGTAGTTTACTCATGGTCCTGATCTCCTGATTTGTATTACTAAATAGAAGTTATGAAGAAATTGATGTCTCTAATCTTCATAGAAATTAAACATTGTAATGAACAGATTGGAGGACCTAAAAGGTTTGGAAGATTGAATGCATTCAACCCAGGTAATAGTTAACACAAGAATTTTCCAGAGTTAATTAGATCTCTGAGAAGGCAGGTTTTTAGTACTGAGGTTTTATTTTGGATATTAATTCACTCAACCTAGTATCAGTGTTTTGATGTAGATGCATTCAGTTGAGCTTCCCAGCAGGAGTACTCTCCAGTCCTGGGTCTCTTCAGTTCATTCAGACAGCTGAAGCTAATTCAAAGCCCAAGTATGCAGAATTCAGTCTCTGAAAGTGGTTGCCTTTATTGTGATAAATTTCAGAAATGATTCTTATCTGTCTTATATGGTATACACTTCAAAATTTTAAGACAATTCCAACATAACCAAATATACTTTAAAGAAATCAGCAGCACTTGACAAGACGTTCAGGTATCATAAGAATTGTTTTCCCAGACTAAAAACAAGACAATTGTTGAACAATACCAAAATACCAATGTTTTATGTACACAATGTTTTTATGAACATTAATTAAAAGAAAATGAGAAGTTCTGAATTACTGTACACAATGTTTTTATGAACATTAATTAAAAGAAAATGAGAAGTTTTGAATTACTGAGTGAGATGATATATTTACGGGAAAAATTTTATTCAGACATCTGTCATCTAAGCCATTTTGTTTTTTGAAGACCTAATGGATAGATATTTTTCTCATTATAAATTATTTAAATTTTTTAATAATTATTTAAATTCATGTAATATTTTAGTTTATTTATATAATATTTTTGTGTGTGTGTGTGTGCCGGGGATCGAACTCGGGACCTTGCGCTTGCGAGGCGGGCGCCGGAACCACTGAGCTAAATCCCTGGGCCGATTTATATAATAATTGATTGTTATTATTTTATGATTTTTATCTTTCTTGAAAATCTCACAGATTGTAGGAATTATAGGGATCCAATTAGAAAACACTCATGTTTACCAGTTGAGAAACACAGTGTTAGCAATGAGCTCTCTGTGAGTGTATAAATATCTTTCTATTTAATGTATGGAAAAATAAAAATAAAATTCAATGTAAGGTGACTCTTTTTGCAATGTAGACAGTTTTAAATGTAAAGTCTAGAAAAATTAATACAACTATAGTTTCTGAATACTCTTATTTAATTTCAATTTTTCTCAATTATTTTACCATTGTTGAAAATGTGTTTAAAGTTGAGCCATTTGGAAATTATCTTTGCATTACCACATGTATTAATTTGAAAATTTTGTGATGATTTTAGCTTTGGAAAATATTGATTATGGGATCTCTTACAAAGAGAGAATTAGAAGTGTGAAAAATAAGTGGATAACTCCCTGATTTCTATTCTAATGATCCTTTCAAATATAATACCTCTAACCCAAACCAGAAGGGAATGAGGCTGCAATGATTCATTTCCTTGCTTGTTGAGATCCTATGACCTTCTCGCCCCAATAAATTTTCAAAGATGGTAGGTAGCTCTCTGATATTCACTAATATTGGAAGGACAAGTGAGAGACAAAGAGAAATGAATAGGTCATTTTTCAAAAATAATTCATCATATTAATATTTTTTCATATAGATGAAACTTGCTTATTGGGCAAATGTTGAAGATAGTTTTAAAAATGTTACACAAGAAATTATTAAAATAAGGCCCAGGTTGTAGCTCAGCAGCACAGCAAGCACCTGCCTGGCAAGCGCAAGGCCCGCAGTTTGATACCCAATACAAAAAAAAAAAAAAAAAAAAGAGAAATGATTAAAATATCTTATATATCTTATATGTAGGTACAAATCTGCCAAAATAAAACCATTAACCTATATAATCAATAAAAAATGAGTGCAAAAAGATGATTAACAAGAATGATAAATAAATTTGCACATAACAGAAAACAGAAAAAGGTGGAGGTATTTAAATTCTACCACTCCTAGTCAAAGGTTATTTAGGCTTGTGGTCAATGAGTGTTAGTGAAGTCAGAGCTTATTTTGCTACAGATTAGAGTTGTAAGTATTGAAGAACAAACATAAAATATTTCTGGAAAAATTATGATCCTTAGAAAAGTATTGATGTCTTAGAGAGTTATCAAAAAAACTCATAGGGTATGACTTTTTAATTTTCATTGTAATATTCAAAGAATAATTATAAATGGAGTGTGAAAAGCCAAAAATATTCAAAGAAGGTGTTACTTAAATTCTGTAATGTTGTGATTGTAGCAACAGCTCCCAATTATAGACAGGGTAATAGGATAGGCCTCAAAAAATTGTCCTACTCAGAGAACTATAATTTAAATGTATAATATAAGTGTGTCCCATTTATTTCACTTAAGAGTATCGCCTCGATGTGCATAGGACACACATGTATAAATACAGATTCGTTTCTCTGGTGTGAGAAACTGAAAGTGTAAATATGGACTAAACGTATAATAGGTCATGTGAAATAGGAAGAAAAGGGGCAAAGGGGAAGGAAGTGGGAGGGGTAGGGGAAAGGATGGAAGGGAATTGGATTAATATGAGAAAATGGAAAAATAGGAACAAAATCTTTGTAAATAGGGAGGGATGGAGGGGTAGAAGGGAGGGCTGGGCAAGGGTGAAAAATAAAAACCAAGGGAGACTATGTAAAGGTGCAAATTTCCAATGATGAATGTCATTGTATTGTATACCTAAAAGGTACCAATGATTAGAATGAATAATCAATAACGCAAACTAGGAAGGAAAGGTCCAAAGGGGTAGGGGTAGTGGGAGTGGCAGGGGAAAGGAAAGAAGGGAAAGGAAAAATGCTGAGAAATGGAAAAAATGGAAATAAAGTCTTTGTAAATAGGGAAGGGTGGAGGGGGTGAAGGGAGGTCTAGGAATGGGGAAAAAATAAGAACCAAGGTGCATTATGTAAAGGTACACTTCCCAATGAGGAACGTGATTGTGTTGTATACCTAAAATGTACCAATTAAAGAATTTAATTAAAAAAATAAAAAAAAATGTATAACATAAGGATGTGTTGCTGATGTGTATGTGTGTGTGTGTGTGTGTGTGTGTGTATGTGTGTGTGTATGTGTCTGAGAATACTCAGATCTAAAGAAAAAATGGTTGCTTAACATAGAAATGTTACTTATCTTGGAAACTTAGTATCTTGGGAATCAATAATAAATCGTTATTAATTGGAAAGCATGAAAAAGAAAGGATAAGTTCATTGCTATGCAATTTATAATGTTTCATAGGTCTATAGAAGGGGTTACTTTTATTTATTAATAAGTTGTTATTTCCGTGTATTTCCATGAAATGTAAAAATAATTTTTCCATACAATATTAAGAATACATTACATTATTTTTTTCTGTTTTGTAGTACTATATACAACTATAATATCCCTTTAGTCTTTTATACACATTAAAATTAAAGTAAATATAACAACATAAGACAACTGAAGAAAGGCTTGCTATTAAGTGTTTATTGCTATTATAATGGAGTGGTACATGTTGCACTTTAATGGGATTTGAAATCTTACAGGCATCATCAAGACTGCCCTTCCAAACATGGATAGAGAGGCTAAAGACCAGTATTTGCTTGTCATTCAGGCAAAGGATATGGTTGGTCAAAATGGCGGACTGTCAGGAACTACATCAGTCACTGTGACCCTAACTGATGTCAATGATAATCCACCTCGTTTTCCTCGAAGTAAGTTATTCTTTTTGTTAATTCACTTTTCTTGTTAGCCTACCAAAACAAAAATAAAACCATTAAAATTTTTTTTTTGGTACCATAGATCGAACTCAGGACCTTGCACTTGCGAGGCAGGGGGCAGAACCACTGAGCTAAATCCCTGGCCCAAAAACCAAAAAATTTTTAAAAGATTTTTTGTCAAATATTTTTCAAAGATATCATTTTGTTACTGCATTCAACCAGAACTACTTTATAGGGACATAGTATTAACTCACTCCATGGAATAAGCATAGCAAAGAAAAATACAACCATCATATAAATTTCTATCTTAAATATAATACATTTTTTCTTTCATTCACTTTTTGAATATTACAAAACTGTTAATTATGTTTGTGTAGTACTCTTTTAATCTAAGACTCCTCTTCATGCATGTTCTTTAAATTTTGGGCTTGTTGCCCATTAGTAATACACTATCAACTCACACAAAACATACTGCTTTCCACAGTGGTTGCACCAGTCTGCAGTCCCACCAACAACAGAGAAGCGTTCTTTCTCCCACAATCCTGTCAGCATTTTTTATTTGTTGATTTCTTGATAGCAGCCATTCTTTCTGGAGTGAGGTGGAATCTCAGTATTGTTTTCATCTGCATCTCTCTCGAATTGCCCATCAACTGGAGACTGGATAGAGATGTGGGGGTTTTTTATATGTAAAATGGTGTACCACTCAGCCATAAAGAATGAGAAACTAGAGACATTTATAGCTAAATAAATGCACATTGAGGTGATACTCTTAAGTGAAATAAATAGGACACACATGCAAATACTGAATAGTCTCTCTGGTGTGAGAAACTAAAAGTGTAAATAAGGATCAAAATGTATAATTCATATTGTGAAATAGAAGGAAAAGGTCTAAAAGGGTAAGGGAGGTGGGAGGGGTAGGGAAAAGGAAAGAAGGGAAAGGAAAAATATGAGAAAAGGAAAAAATGGAAACAAAGTCTTTTCAAATAGGGAAGGGTGGAGGTATTGAAGAGAGGGCAGGCGAATGGGGAAAAAATAAGAACCAAGATACATACATCATGTAAAGGTACAAGTTCTCAATGATGAATGTAACTGTATTGTATACCTAAAAGGTACCAATAAACTTAATGAAAAAAATACTACTTAATTTTTGAGGACTTAAAGAAGAGCAATAAAAATTTTATTTTTCATTTCTTATATTAACCAATTCATGCATACTGAGTATTCCTTTGATAGTTCTACCTTGTTTCCTGTGAAACCATTGACTGTTTCAAAAGAAATAAATCTAAAGCACTAGAACCACATGCCTTCATTTAAGCTTCTTTGACCAAAGTGGCTTTGACTCATCCAAGAAGGAAAAAATATTCTCAAGGAAGAAGTGTTCTGTTTGCAAGAAAGCCTTTCATCTCAGTCTCTTTTTAATAGCCTTTTAAAAAATTTGTTCTTTTATATAATTGTTGTTCATGTGGCATTTTTTAAGAATTCTAAAGAAAACTTAAAAAATATTTTACAGGCTGTGGTGTCTTTAAAGTGTCTCTAAGATACCTATCCAATAAAAATGTAAAACTAAATTTCTTACTAACAGGAAGAAGCAAATAATATCAAGCAAGTATTCTTTATGATCAATGAGACCCACTACTTTTTTCCTTCAGGAATGCTTCTTTAGATATTTCATCTTTAACATATTTTAATGCTTATTTGTTTGGGACAACAAACATGGAAATATCAAAAATAATTCAAGGCTTCTTATTCAACTCGTGATGGGGTGCTATTCTTAATTGTGTTCATGATAGCTTAATATGGAGGAAAAGGAAGGGATTTTAAGGAAAATGTGTTATCTTGGGCTCATGATAAAATTAACTCTTTCCCTTTTCTTTAAACCTAGCATGATAAGAATTGGTACTGAGAATTTTAGTAGCTTCAGTTATCATGTTTTGCTAAGATAGTTTCCAATTTATTAGATACTATTTTACTTGTTAAAGTGAGGAAAGAGGAAAGACCATGATATACCATTGAATTTTTAATTTTTGCTGAGATATTCTCTACAATTTAAAAACTATTCTGACCTTTAAATTGTTTGACTTTTACTAAGGTCACTACTAAATGTTTGAAAGAAAACACAAAAGAAGTGGTAAGCATATATTGCAGGAACTTAAAAAATGACAATATCTACTCACAATCTTTAGATAAAAGCAAACAAGTGCCAGCCTAAACCTAAATAGTGCCTTCATATAAATATGTATTTTCTTTCTATAAATATGAATATCCTTTCTATATATTCCTCTCAAAGAGAATCTCTTTTTCTCTCCTCATACAAAAGAACAAATGCACCACAATTTAACCACCAAAGGGAAATGGAATTAGATGCAGGACACAGGACAAAGTACATGATTAGAGAAAAATGGTTAAGGAATGTATTCTGAGACATTTCCTGCCTTCTTTACCTTTCTTTCAAACTACATTTTTGTTGTTGTTTTGCTTTAGTTTTTGTTGAAGAGTTGCAAAGAAATTATTACAAAGGTTAAAGAGAACAATTTTTATAGATTTTCTTTCTTTTTACTTCTCATTATTTCTGTTTCAATAATATTGCCTATGCTCGTGGACTATTGTCCCCTAACTAGGTTCTAGATAAAATCCTCTCACACACACACACACACACACACACACACACACACACACACACAATCCTTATACCTGGCAAATTTATGAGCTAAAAGAAGACTAATACTGTCCTACTCATACCTCCTTTTCCAGTTTTCTGAAAATGCCTTTGTTAAAGACATTAAGTAAATGCCAAGATTAAGCTGTCAAAAATATTTAGGCTTTATTTGTCCAACAGACATCTGAGCTAGTCTCTTGTTGTTTGTGTATATTATATGAATTAATTCAATTAGTTATATTTGGTGGTTCTATATTGGTTACATTTTATTTTAACTTTTTTATTATTAAAGGCAGCATATTTTTCAACAATGGAGAACTACAGGAAAAGTGAATTTTCTCTTGTTTTTCCTTAGGCCATCTGTTTCTGCTGTCACAGAGTTATTATTGAGTCAGAACAATCACATTTCTTGAGGCTATATGAGTTCTGTCATTTGTCTCACATTGCCTTACTATCTTCTTTCATAGTTTTAGCATCTACTCTATTGAAAAATAAAAATGAATTAAGCAACATTGATACAAAAGCACCAAATCCTTGTCTGTGTGTCTGTCTGTTTGGTTACCTTAGGGTAAAGTTTTGTTCATTCCTTATTTTGAATTTTACAGGGTCTTACCAATATAACGTCCCAGAATCATTACCAGTAGCCTCAGTTGTGGCCCGAATTAAAGCTGCTGATGCAGATATAGGAGCAAATGCTGAAATGGAATACAAAATTGTTGACGGTGATGGATTGGGAATTTTCAAGATATCTGTTGACAAAGATACACAGGAAGGAATCATTACTATACAGAAGGTAATGCTTTCTTTATTGTCATTTTTCTTTCAATTGGGGTAACATCCAGACTGCCAAAAAATCATTCTGGTTTTGATATAAGGGAAATATTATAACTCCCAATCTGCTAGATGTCAGATATACTGTTTGTGTTCCCTAAAATCAAAAAAATGAATTGTAAGGAACAAAAGAGGTTAAGAGTAGAAGAACTTTATTGAGAGATAGTTCCTGAGAGACAGGATGGGATCCGGAAGTGAGTTGGCAAAGAAGAAAAACTTACTTCTCAAAGGAAGAAGTCAGAACATAATCACAAGGTGAGGACAGAATCATGAGGTGGGTAAAATGTGTTAAAGATATGATCAACCAATAAAATTATGAAAATAGCTGCTTAGGTAATATTGATCCAATGGGGAAGCAGATCACTTTGTAAGTATACATGGAAAGAAGAAAGACCTTTCTAGGAAGGGATGGATTAGGAGGTCCTGGTCACCCACCTGGGTGACTGATATCTATTAGACTTTATTGACCAAGTGATATCAAGTATAGTATAATCTGTAATTTATTGCTTATACCTCAGGAAGCATGTAGGCTTGGTCATTTCGTCTTTGTCTTGAGGGCTGGCCTTCCAGACCTTGCAGACGTGCCCCTAGCCACAATTGTAATTGTTCTCATCTTCTGCACTGACTCTCTCGAGGGCTAAGCCCTGTCTGACTGCCTAAAATAGTTCTACCTAACTTAGCTGTCTGTAATACATTGATAGAACAATGTACTGGACACACTGAGTGGCTATATGGAAGCACTGCAGTATTGTAATATGTGAGCACTGTAGTATTTTTAAAGAAAAAACCCTGCATTTATTATTAGGTCTCAATCCTAGGGAAACTTGAGCAACATTTCTAATAATACCCTTCAATTTTATTCCCTGAATAAACCTATAGCCCTTATCTACAGCACTGTAACTAGATGCATTATGAAATGTGCTGTTTTGGAGACTTATTGGAAAGGTGTTTGTTCCCTAACTATTCTACTAATGAAGTCCTAAATTCAACTCAAAGCATTTGGATGTAAACTAGACATTATTTTCTACATTTTTGAAAAATTCACACTGGTAAAACATGGAAAACTCTGAAGCTTATCATAATCTCCTAAATAAAAATACAAAGTTTATGATAATTTCCTAAATAAAAAGTACCATTGAAAGCGAGAGTTATTTGCTATTTAAATTGTTTCTAACACAATTAGTTTCTAACATTAATTACATATGGAGAAAATGAGCTCTTTACTCAGTGTTTATACCTGATTTTTGTCAAGAGTTCAGATAAAATAAGACATGTCAAAAGGTATCAAATGAAAATACACTCTTATTATATGAAATATTTGAAATACTAAAATTATAAAAACCTGTACCTCTCCCAAAACTGGGATGTTTTACCAGTTATACAAATCCAGGTGTATAACACTTTAATTAACATTCCTCATTAATTAACACATCAATAAAGAAAGTTATAATTTAGTTGTTATAGTAAGACATATGTTTGATTTCAGGCCAATGAGCAAAACATTTCTGCAATTATTTCCAGTGGACAGCTGCTGTTTTAGCTCAGCTGGTAACTGACTTTGTACAAAAGTTTTAATAAGTAGGATAGGCCAACTGTTGGCAAAACATTTTGTTTTGTTGTGTAAAATAAAAGGAATGGAATAAAGTACACTGAAGCTCAAATTTAAAGATACATATACAGTGAACTAAGAGTATTCAATAAAAATTAAAAATAATTTTATTCAATGCATATCTATTATAATGGAGGTGTCATGAAAAATTAGAAAATATATAGTTGGTATGAAATAGTTAATTCAGTAATAGAAAAATAAATTTTGTCCTCTATTCCTGGATACACTTTGTAGAAGTTTTAGAAAATTGTAAAAAGTGAACCATATAAAAAACAAGATAAAATAATTTATTCTAAAAACAAAATCCATGAAAAAATGAAAAGTAGAAATTTAATCCTAATATATAATATAAAAACATAAACAATTACTTGGAAATTAGCCAAAATTATTTGGAAACTAGCCAAAAAATCACATTTCATTACATACAGGAATTTTAAAGATATTCCTGGTACGCCAAAGTGTTGAATGTCTAACTCTTCTGTATTACATGTTTTACTGTTCCCTATTTGCATTAAAAGATACAGAGTAGTAAACACTAAACTACTTTTAATTCCTGCAACACACTTTTCCATCTCTTCAAACATTCTCTTTTCCTCTCCAACTTTTCTGTGTTACTTGTCTTTCAGGTTCATAAAGTAGCTCCCATTCTTCCTTCTTTAAAGTAAACAGATAAAGAAAGGCAATAAAATTTCTTGTGCAAGAAGTTTTTGACAAGAAAGGAAATGTTTGTGTGTGCGGGTGTACTTTTAACAAGGGAAATGACTCTAATAATGTAATGCTATCTCATTTTTGTAAATACTGTGGTTTTTTTCATGAACCTAGCTGTGACCACAACGACTTGGGGCAATATCAAAGGCTTTGTAAAACTGTTTTAGAGAACTCCAACTCCATCTGCCAGCTAAGTGGTCAGTCTACCAAGGGGCTCAAGGATTTCAGTTTGTGCTGGACAAGGAGTTGTGTAGTGAAAGCACAGCACTTTTCCTCGGGTAGGCGAGGAAACAAGGCACTTTCTCCGTGAGATAACTGGGCAAGGACTTCCCCGTAACAGTTTCTTTTTGGCTTCTTCTTGATTTGTAACAGCTCAGAGCTGTGTAGTTTCTTCCCCTTCAGTCTTCTTATAAGTTGGTCATCATTGCTTCAGTCCTAAGTAATTTAATGGCTCCTGACCTCATAGCCTGCTCTTAGCTTCTCAATCCTTATATCCCTCTGACATACAATAAATTGCTGTTCAACACTCAATACTATTTTTATGATTTCAACTATTTTAAAAATAACCTAACCGTTACTAAGGGAATAAAGCAGTGATACAGCCAATTGAAAAGAAGTAGTGAAATATTTATTGTAGAATGATAATATATAGTTAGGAATTCTAAGACAATTCATTACAATTTTTTGAAATTAATAAGATATTAATGACAGCTCTAAAGGTAAGTTTAAATGGATAGCTTCAGGATGGTCATTCTATAAGGATGTTTGTGTGAACGTTTGGCCTTACTTCTAACCCTAGGAGCAGCAGCCCACTAGTGGTTGTGTAAAGCATATCACCCCTCTTTCTTTCACATCCCGGAAATCTTCTGTCTTAATGCTGTGACATCTACTAGCCTGACAAAGCCAGACTTTTCTCTCGAATCCAAGTTCATGCCAGGTTTCTATGTCCTGAGAATTGATTTCCTGCTCACTTTTTTGTAACTAATGTATTTCTTTTCTCTTTTTTTAAAGACACTGGGAATTGAACTCAGGACCTTGCTCTTGCCAGGCAGGCGCAGTGCCACTGAGTTACATCCCTGGCCAAGTAACTAATTTCTTTAGTGTGAATTTCTCAGAATTAAAACTTGGCCTCAAATTTTTCTCAGTCTGAACTAACATCCAATAGCGGCCCTAAAGGGACAGGATTTTGATTTTCAGGTTTTTTTAATATGGCTTTCAGTAAACCTTGGACCCATGTTACATCCTCAATAAAACATTTCCAGAGAACCTTTACGATCAGTGAAGTCTGCCAAACTGTATATGAGCCAGCTAATTTCAGTGCTGTTTCTGCAGTGTAAAGCAGTAAAATTATCTGTGAAAAATAAAATGGATCTTTGAATAGAACATACAAGCATCCTGTCTAAAAACAAAAAGAAAGAAAGAAAGAAAGAAAGAAAGATCAAATGAGGATTCCTATCATCCTGACTATATTTAAATTTTTTTCTAAAATAAAAAATAGAATACTGTAATAAGTAAAACAAAATCAAACGTGTGGCTGGGTCTTGGAGGACCTACCTGGATATAGCATTTAATAAATAAATGTTGACAGGTATGTAGAATGTTGACAAATTTTTTGTTAAACATGTAAATATTACTTGGCATTTGAATAACAGAGTTGCTGTGTCTGTTTAGATAAGTAATTTCTATTGGAATTACATTACGTTTTACCTTGGGCACATCCTCAATAAACATTTGAACTTGCCTTTCTATACTGTATACTGTAATACAATTATAGTCCATTTCCTTTTCATAAGAGATGTGTTATCATAAGTGTGTTGTTCAGCTTTTCTATCACTAGACAAAAATACCTGACACCCACAATTTAAACAAGGAGAGGTTTACTTTAGATCAGCTTCAGAAGTTTTAGTTCATGGTCAGCTGGCTCCAAGACACAAGTGACACGGCAGAAGGGCTTGGCATGGGAGGGCTGCTCCATTTATGTCCACCTGGAAAGAAACAGAGCAAGGAAGAGAGAAAGAAATGTGCTCTGAAAAGACACCCCAGTGACCCACCTCCACCAACCAAGCCCCAACTCCCAACAGCACATTCGCTATGAAATCATCAGCGGATGAATCCACAGACAAGTGTAGCATCCCCATGACCCAACCGCCTTGGAAAGATGGGTCTTTTGGGGGACATTTTAGATCTAAATCATAATAATATATATAATTAGATTTGTTTTTATATGGGCAAATCATTAGTCATATTTTGAAACATTTATATAATGCTGTATTAAACATAGGATGCACTTAGAAGCAGGAAAAAGAACAGCAAAACAAGCTATTTTTTTAAAAAGGTATTTTTCCCAAAAAGAATATTTAGAAAAGAACTATGAAATATTACCTTCAGTTATGCTATTACAGCTCCAGTGTTTGACAGAAAAATTTTAATATGATCAAATGTGTAGAATCAGTATGACTAAAGATTTGCATAGATGTTCCTATAAATTTATTCATAATTTAATCACTTCTACACACTACAAGTAAACACAGTTATACAGTATAAATATGAAAAATGATAATGAGACAGCAGTATCAGACAGTTAAAGCAATGTATATGCTGTTTCATGGTCATTTATGAATGCTTCTATGATAATATTTATAACC